CTTCAGACCACAGTGAAGGACAGCTTCAGACCACAGTGAAGGACAGCTTCAGACCACAGTGAAGGACACAGCTTCAGACCACAGTGAAGGACAGCTCAGATCACAGTGAAGGACAGCTTCAGACCACAGTGAAGGACAGCTTCAGACCACAGTGAAGGACAGCTTCAGACCACAGTGAAGGACAGCTTCAGACCACAGTGAAGGACAGCTTCAGATCACAGTGAAGGGACAGCTTCAGACCACAGTGAAGGACAGCCTTCAGACCACAGTGAAGGGACAGCTCAGACCACAGTGAAGGACAGCTTCAGATCACAGTGAGGGCACAGCTTCAGACAACAGTGAAGGACAGCTTCAGACCACAGTGAAGGACAGCTTCAGACCACAGTGAAGGACAGCTTCAGACCACAGTGAAGGACAGCTTCAGACCACAGTGAAGGACAGCTTCAGACCCACAGTGAAGGACAGCTTCAGATCACAGTGAAGACACAGCTTCAGACCACAGTGAAGGACAGCTTCAGACCACAGTGAAGGACAGCTTCAGACCACAGTGAAGGGACAGCTTAGACCACAGTGAAGGACAGCTTCAGACCACAGGAAGGACAGCTTCAGACCACAGTGAAGGACAGCTTCAGACCACAGTGAAGGACAGCTTCAGACCACAGTGAAGGACAGCTTCAGACCACAGTGAAGGACAGCTTCAGACCACAGTGAAGGACAGCTTCAGACCACAGTGAAGGACAGCTTCAGACCACAGTGAAGGACAGCTTCAGATCACAGTGAAGGACAGCTTCAGATCACAGTGAAGGACAGCTTCAGACCACAGTGAAGGGACAGCTTCAGACCACAGTGAAGGACAGCTTCAGACCACAGTGAAGGACAGCTTCAGACCACAGTGAAGGACAGCTTCAGACCACAGTGTGAAGGACAGCTTCAGATCACAGTGAAGGACAGCTTCAGACCACAGTGAAGGACAGCTTCAGACCACAGTGAAGGACAGCTTCAGACCACAGTGAAGGACAGCTTCAGACCACAGTGAAGGACAGCTTCAGACCACAGTGAGGGAGACAGCTTCAGACCACAGTGAAGGACAGCTTCAGATCACAGTGAGGGACACAGCTTCAGACCACAGTGAAGGACAGCTTCAGACCACAGTGAAGGACAGCTTCAGACCACAGTGAAGGACAGCTTCAGACCACAGTGAAGGACAGCTTCAGACCACAGTGAAGGACAGCTTCAGACCACAGTGAAGGACAGCTTCAGACCACAGTGAAGGACAGCTTCAGACCACAGTGAAGGACAGCTTCAGACCACAGTGAAGGACAGCTTCAGATCACAGTGAGGGACAGCTTCAGACCACAGTGAAGGACAGCTTCAGATCACAGTGAGGGCCACAGCTTCAGACCACAGTGAAGGACAGCTTCAGATCACAGTGAGGGACACAGCTTCAGACCACAGTGAAGGACAGCTTCAGACCACAGTGAAGGACAGCTTCAGACCACAGTGAGGGAGACAGCTTCAGACCACAGTGAAGGACAGCTTCAGACCACAGTGAGGGACACAGCTTCAGCTTCAGACCACAGTGAGGGGTCACAGCTTCAGACCACAGTGAGGGGTCACAGCTTCAGACCACAGTGAGGGACACAGCTTCAGACCACAGTGAAGGACAGCTTCAGACCACAGTGAGGGACACAGCTTCAGACCACAGTGAGGGGACACAGCTTCAGACCACAGTGAGGGGTCACAGCTTCAGACCACAGTGAGGGGACACAGCTTCAGACCACAGTGAGGGGACACAGCTTCAGACCACAGTGAGGGGACACAGCTTCAGACCACAGTGAGGGACAGCTTCAGACCACAGTGAGGGTTCACAGCTTCAGACCACAGTGAGGGACACAGCTTCAGACCACAGTGAGGGACACAGCTTCAGACCACAGTGAGGGACACAGCTTCAGACCACAGTGAGGGGACAGCTTCAGATCACAGTGAGGGCCACAGCTTCACACCACAGTGAGGGGACACAGCTTCAGACCACAGTGAGGGGACACAGCTTCAGACCACAGTGAGGGGACACAGCTTCAGACCACAGTGAGGGGTCACAGCTTCAGACCACAGTGAGGGACACAGCTTCAGACCACAGTGAGGGACACAGCTTCAGACCACAGTGAAGGACAGCTTCAGACCACAGTGAGGGACACAGCTTCAGACCACAGTGAGGGCCACAGCTTCAGACCACAGTGAGGGACACAGCTTCAGACCACAGTGAAGACACAGCTTCAGACCACAGTGAGGGGACACAGCTTCAGACCACAGTGAGGGACACAGCTTCAGACCACAGTGAGGGCCATAGCTTCAGACCACAGTGAAGACACAGCTTCAGACCACAGTGAAGACACAGCTTCAGACCACAGTGAGGGCCACAGCTTCAGACCACAGTGAGGGAGACAGCTTCAGACCACAGTGAGGGCCACAGCTTCAGACCACAGTGAGGGAGACAGCTTCAGACCACAGTGAGGGAGACAGCTCAGACCACAGTGAGGGACACAGCTTCAGACCACAGTGAGGGCCACAGCTTCAGACCACAGTGAAGACACAGCTTCAGACCACAGTGAGGGACACAGCTTCAGACCACAGTGAGGGCCACAGCTCAGACCACAGTGAAGACACAGCTTCAGACCACAGTGAGGGACACAGCTTCAGACCACAGTGAGGGGACACAGCTTCAGACCACAGTGAGGGACACAGCTTCAGACCACAGTGAGGGACACAGCTTCAGACCACAGTGAGGACACAGCTTCAGACCACAGTGAAGACACAGCTTCAGACCACAGTGAGGGGCCACAGCTTCAGACCACAGTGAGGGAGACAGCTTCAGACCACAGTGAGGGCCACAGCTTCAGACCACAGTGAGGGAGACAGCTTCAGACCACAGTGAGGGAGACAGCTTCAGACCACAGTGAGGGAGACAGCTTCAGACCACAGTGAGGGCCACAGCTTCAGACCACAGTGAGGGACACAGCTTCAGACCACAGTGAGGGACACAGCTTCAGACCACAGTGAGGGAGACAGCTTCAGACCACAGTGAGGGAGACAGCTTCAGACCACAGTGAGGGAGACAGCTTCAGACCACAGTGAGGGAGACAGCTTTTGACGTTTTTATCCTTATAATTCTCCCTCGTAACAAAATCCATTAATTTTTCTATTAGCACCGAGCACAGCTACTGTTCCCACCCCTCTAATCGTATTTCATTTCTCATCTGAATATTTAAATCGATACGCGGAGAGAGAGAGGGGCGTTTTGGGGTGGGCAAGGGGTGGGTGTATGGGCGTGTGCGGAGGTGGGTGTATGGGGTGGGCGAGGGTGGGTGTATGGGGTGGGCGAGGGTGGGTGTATTGGGTAGGCGAGGGTGGGTGTATGGGGTGGGCGAGGGTGGGTGTATGGGGTGTGCGAGGGGCGTGGGGTGGGCGAGGGTGTATGGGGTGGGCGGAGGGTGGGTGTATGGGGTGGGCGGGGGTGGGTCCACAGCTGGGGTGGGCGGGGGTGGGTCCACAGCTGTGGGTGTATGGGGTGGGCGGGGGTGGGTCCACAACCAGTGGTGGGCCCCGGCTATAGTTGACACGATACCAGACCAACACAATAATTACAGAGCTCAACAATTGTCAGACGCCGACAAAAATTCCACCAAGTTCTTCCGCACATAATAACTCCATCTCGCGGGCACGATGGTCACGTTCGCACCAGGGTTGTTAAAGCAACATCACCCGTCTGCCCTCTAGGCACAAAGGTCAAATTGTGTCACCCACATCACTACTTACGGGTATACCCCCCCCCCTCCCCCCATAAAAGCCAATTTTTCTCGTTTGCATAAAGATGATTATATATCTAATTGTCAATTTCATTTGAGGAGCTAATTTGGATATTACCTCAAAGAAATGAAGTGAAAATAAGAGGAAAACCATTTTGGCCCCACGGTAATGAGTCTCCTGGTCTCTGTGGCCACCAGGAGCACTCTCTTGCCCCCTCCACACACACATACACCTCTCCTACACCTGCCTCCACACCTGTGTGTGTGTACCTACACCTGCCTCCACACCTGTGTGTTTGCACCTACACCTGCCTCCACACATGTGTGTTTGCACCTACACCTGCCTCCACACATGTGTGTTTGCACCTACACCTGTCTCCACACGTGTGTGTTTGCACCTACACCTGCCTCCATACATGTGTGTGTGTACCTACACCTGTCTCCATATCTCTCTCTCTTCACCCACACCTGCCTCTCCACATGCCCCCCCCCCCTCTATCACCCCTCACATACCCAGAACAATAGTGTGGCCGTGACTGGAAGCCGGCGGGTGGACGTACCTGGACTCTAGCCTCCGTCAAGTTAATCTTCATAGCCAGCTCCTCGCGGGTGAAGACGTCAGGGTAGTGGGTCTGTGTGAAGGCGTTCTCCAACTCCTCTAACTGGTGACGGGGCGGCGAGGGAGGACACGAATTAGTTCCACCACATTCTTCACAAGCATACTAAACTACTCTCATACTAACATATAATGATCCATTGGAAAGTATAGATGAGAAATATATATGTATATATATATATATATATATATATATATATATATATATATATATATATATATAACTGAAAACTCAGTTATATATAACTGAGTTTTCAGTTGCATATTGTCCTGGGGACCATTCAGGCTTGTTCGCATATATATATATATATATATGAGCATCAAATTATCAATCTGTAAGAGGCAGAAAAGGTTGTGTCTCAGACTACATGGAACAGAACAATTCACAACTGTAAAGGTGTTAAACTGTGTGGTGTTGGTGCATGAGGCCCACAGCAACAGTGTGGTGAGCCACGTGCTGGAGAAGTGGGTGTCCTCGTGCATAAGGTCATCATGTAGCCCTGAATTATCGCCATGTTTGATGCTAATAAAACTACCCAAGAATTCATTAGGCATTTTATGACCTTTGTATATTAATATCCGGCGTTTTGACATAGCAAAGTAAATGCCGGCTATATTCATCACTACAATATTAGAATATTATTTACATAATGGCCAGGGAAAAACTAGATTATGCACACACGCGCGCGCTCACACACACACACACACACACACACACACACACACACACACACACACACACACACACACACACACACACACACACACACACACACACACACACACACACACACACACACACACACACACACACACACACACACACACACACACAGACACAGACACACACACACACACACAGACACATACACACACACACACACACACACACACACACACACACAGACACACACACACACACACACACACACACACACACACACACACACACACACACACACACACAAGTGCAGATATGATAGAGCCCAGTAGGCTCAGGAATCTTTACATCAGTTGATTGACGGTTGAGAGGCGGGACCAAAGAGCCAGAGCTCAACCCCCGCAAACACAACTAGGTGAGTACACACACACACACACACACACACACACACACACACACACACAGACACACACACACACACACACACACACACACACACACACACACACACACACAAGTGCAGATATGATAGAGCCCAGTAGGCTCAGGAATCTTTACATCAGTTGATTGACGGTTGAGAGGCGGGACCAAAGAGCCAGAGCTCAACCCCCGCAAGCACAACTAGGTGAGTACACACAGACACACACAGACACACACACAGACACACACACACACACACACACACACACACAGACACACACACAGACACACACACACAGACACACACACACACACAAGTGCAGATATGATAGAGCCCAGTAGGCTCAGGAATCTTTACATCAGTTGATTGACGGTTGAGAGGCGGGACCAAAGAGCCAGAGCTCAACCCCCGCAAACACAACTAGGTGAGTACACACACACCACACACACACACACACACACACACACAGACACACACACACACACACACACACACACACACACAAGTGCAGATATGATAGAGCCCAGTAGGCTCAGGAATCTTTACATCAGTTGATGACGGTTGAGAGGCGGGACCAAAGAGCCAGAGCTCAACCCCCGCAAACACAACTAGGTGAGTACACACACACACACACACACACACACACACACACACACACACAGACACACACACACACAAGCTGAAGATATGTGTACAGGAAACCCCCCCCGCAGGCCATAGTGGGAGACCCGCCCCACAGGAAGACGACAAAGTAACAAGTGATAGTCACCTGCTGGAGAGTGAAGGTCGTCCTGTTCCGCCTCTGCTTCCTCCTGACGAAGGTCTCGTCGTGGAGGTCCGGGTGGTAGCTGTAGCTGGAGTCTGTGGGTGTCACAAGCACACTAGTATCTTCCCTTCTGTGCCCGCATGTGTCCCGCCTCGGCGTCCTCTGTGTGTCCCCCCGTCTTATGCCGTGTGTCCCGTCGTCGTGTCATGGGTCACGTTAGTATATGTGTAGCACATATGTGTCTTCTACCGGGTTTTGTATGTTGCTATGTGTCAACTTTCCTGTGTGTGTGTCCATGGAGCATAGACACACAGGGTGTGGAGCATAGACACACAGGGTGTGGAGCATAGACACACAGGGTGTGGAGCATAGACACACAGGGTGTGGAGCATAGACACACAGGGTGTGGAGCATAGACACACAGGGTGTGGAGCATAGACACACAGGGTGTGGAGCATAGACACACAGGGTGTGGAGCATAGACACACAGGGTGTGGAGCATAGACACACAGGGTGTGGAGCATAGACACACAGGGTGTGGAGCATAGACACACATGGTGTGGAGCATAGACACACAGGGTGTGGAGCATAGACACACAGGGTGTGGAGCATGGACACAGCGAGTAAATAATTCAGTGTAGAATATAATATCCAGTCATCTGATACTTATCATCCCGTGTTGTTGGTAATTTGATTACTGGAGTGTTTATAGAGCCCGGCTGTTGTCAGTAACATTACTGGAGTGTTTATAGAGCCCGGCTGTTGTCAGTAACATTACTGCAGTGTTTATAGAGCCCGGCTGTTGTCAGTAACATTACTGGAGTGTTTATAGAGCCCGGCTGTTGTCAGTAACATTACTGGAGTGTTTATAGAGCCCGGCTGTTGTCAGTAACATTACTGGAGTGTTTATAGAGCCCGGCTGTTGTCAGTAACATTACTGGAGTGTTTATAGAGCCCGGCTGTTGTCAGTAACATTACTGGAGTGTTTATAGAGCCCGGCTGTTGTCAGTAACATTACTGGAGTGTTTATAGAGCCCGGCTGTTGTCAGTAACATTACTGGAGTGTTTATAGAGCCCGGCTGTTGTTAGTGACATTACTGGAGTGTTTATAGAGCCCGGATGTTGTCAGTAACATTACTGGAGTGTTTATAGAGCCCGGATGTTGTCAGTAACATTACTGGAGTGCTTATAGAGCCTGAGGTCAATAATGAGTGAGGGTCAATAATGATTAAGGTCAATAATGATTAAGGTCAATAATGAGGTCAATAATGAGTGAGGGTCAATAATGAGTGAGGGTCAATAATGAGTGAGGGTCAATAATGAGTGAGGGTCAATAATGAGTGAGGGTCAATAATGAGTGAGGTCAATAATGAGTGAGGGTCAATAATGAGTGAGGGTCAATAATGAGTGAGGTCAATAATGAGTGAGGGTCAATAATGAGTGAGGGTCAATAATGAGTGAGGGTCAATAATGAGTGAGGGTCAATAATGAGTGAGGTCAATAATGAGTGAGGGTCAATAATGAGTGAGGGTCAATAATGAGTGAGATCAATAATGATTAAGGTCAATAATGAGTGAGGTCAATAGGGTCAATAATGAGTGAGATCAATAATGAGGGTCAATAATGAGTGAGGTCAATAATGAGGGTCAATAATGAGTGAGGTCAATAGTTAGGGTCAATAATGAGTGAGGTCAATAATGAGGGTCAATAATGAGTGAGGTCAATAATGAGTGAGGTCAATAATGAGGGTCAATAATGAGTGAGGTCAATAGTTAGGGTCAATAATGAGTGAGATCAATAATGAGGGTCAATAATGAGTGAGGTCAATAATGAGGGTCAATAATGAGTGAGGTCAATAGTTAGGGTCAATAATGAGTGAGGTCAATAATGAGGGTCAATAATGAGTGAGGTGCCGCTGACAGGTGCTGGAGGGGGGTTCGACTCCCACCGTCAGCACCACACTTGTGCTAACAACAATGTACATGACTTGTATAAAAATATAATTTGTTGCTTATTAAGATCAGTTTATCTGTTGCTGTTGGTATTGTGATGCCGCATGCCTAGATTATAGCCACGCGGCTATATTATATATCACAATTCTATCATTCGGAAAGGCATGATAACAATGTTATGAAGAACATTGTTATAGAATGGCCGCAGGTTTGTTCTGGTGGTGTGAGTGGTCATTGTGTCGGTGCTTCGTGTTAGTATTCCTCCGCCCCAGGAGTGAAGGACTATCCTCCGGTAACTCCACCGTCCCTCCGTTAACTCTACTGCCCCTGAGGTAACTCTACTGCCCCTGAGGTAACTCTACTGCCCCTGAGGTAACTCTACTGCCCCTGAGGTAACTCTACTGCCCCTGAGGTAACTCTACTGCCCCTGAGGTAACTCTACTGCCCCTGAGGTAACTCCACTGCCCCTGAGGTAACTCCACCGTCCCCTGAGGTAACTGCACTACCCCTGAGGTAACTCCGCCGTCCCTCTGGTAACTCCACTGCCCCTGAGGTAACTCCACCGTCCCTCCGGTAACTCCACTGCTCCTGAGGTAACTCCGCCGTCCCTCTGGTAACTCCACTGCCCCTGAGGTAACTCCACCGTCCCTCCGGTAACTCCACTGCTCCTGAGGTAACTCCACTGCCCCTGAGGTAACTCCGCCGTCCCTCTGGTAACTCCACTGCCCCTGAGGTAACTCCACCGTCCCTCTGGTAACTCCACTGCCCCTGAGGTAACTCCGCCGTCCCTCTGGTAACTCCACTGCCCCTGAGGTAACTCCACCGTCCCTCCGTGCCGTAATAAGCCACATGTCGGCTGGGATAGCCCCCAAGCCAGGGACTCCGGCGTCGGCTCTCCTCTCTCTTAGTCTAATAACCCCGGCTCACTGCTATAATAATCTAAATAAACTTAGTCCGCAGTCTTGCGCCGTAATAAGCCGGGTCATTGATAATAATAACGTGAAAATGGCTAGTAGATCCCCGGGCCCATCCCGAGTGGATTATGCCGATATTACTGCCATCTAGCGCCCTCGTCCCAAACGTCGTACTGTGTTATTGTTCTCCTCTGACTGTTCTCTCGCTCCAGTGTTCTTCATCCTCAACCGTAGTTCGCGACTACATGCAAAATCGTTGATTATAAAGGAGGAAAAATGTTGAGAGGCGTCTGAAGCAACACAAATATAAAAATAAGTGTGAAAAGTTGGGTGGCCACCGGCGCCGCCTCTTACATAACGTGATCATGCCGGAGGCTGAGCCTCCATCTCCCTTGGGTCCGTCTCTCCCACCCCGGGGCCTCTAACTCCATCTGCCCCTCGAAATATTACCCTTTATCTCTCTTTATAGCCTCTCGAGTCCTCCCGCCATCTCTCATACAATTTGGCGCCAATTTTTTCCCGCGTAAACTTGTTGTGTTTGTCATTGGCGGTGTTGGCGGTCATCACTCGACGTCGGGCGGGCTCTCGGGTGTGATACGTCTTCCTGCCGCCAGGGGAGACCAGCCACCGTCCATAAGATAGCCTTAGAAAATTGCCTTCTGGATATTACATTACACTACAGTACGTTATTCAGGGCCGCTGGACGCGGTATCCTCAACGTATATATCTTTACTGTATAATTCATATCGTAGCCTCGTATGACTAGCGATAAATTTAAAGAAATAAAATCCCTAGATGGATGTGGAAAAAAAGTTTTCTCTGGGAAGCGAATTCTGGGCCGGAGCAGCGAAGTCTTTACACCCAGGTAGTAACTTATCCCATCAGGATCACTTTTGAAAATACGCCCATTTTTTCAGCGTCTCCTCTGTTTTGTGACCTCGTAGAGAAGTTGAAGCGAGGTTTACCGCCGTGACAGTCGCCACGCTCCCAGGATCATGGGACTTGCGCGCCAGAACTCAGCTGGGGAGCCAATTTTCCCGCCAAGGCGTTGGATCACCGTCGGACTGCCGGAGCAGGAATAAACATTACCAAAGTCTCTGCCACCTCCTCGGCCTCGTGTGCAATTTGTCTCACTACTTCAGCTTACATTAATGTTTGTTTGTCGCCCGTGTTTATTTATTGGAGTATATTTCAGAGTCCGTGCATCATATTGGAGTATATTTCAGAGTCCGTGCATCATATTCGAGTATATTTCAGAGTCCGTGCATCATATTGGAGTATATTTCAGAGTCCGTGCATCATATTCGAGTATATTTCAGAGTCCGTGCATCATATTGGAGTATATTTCAGAGTCCGTGCATCATATTCGAGTATATTTCAGAGTCCGTGCATCATATTGGAGTATATTTCAGAGTCCGTGCATCTTATTCGAGTATATTTCAGAGTCCGTGCATCATATTCGAGTATATTTCAGAGTCCGTGCATCATATTCGAGTATATTTCAGAGTCCGTGCATCATATTCGAGTATATTTTAGAATTCGTGCATCATATTGGAGTATAATTCAGAGTCCGTGCATTATATTGGAGTATAATTCAGAGTCCGTGCATCATATTGGAGTATAATTCAGAGTCCGTGCATTATATTGGAGTATAATTCAGAGTCCGTGCATCATATTGGAGTATATTTCAGAGTCCGTGCATCATATTCTTCGGCATCCCAAGTGACAATAACATTTGCTTCACTCTTAACATCTTACGCTACAGCATTCAGAGCGCGCTTGAGTCAAGTTACTCATTCCTGAGCCATATAATTATGAGCATTCCTTACCGAGTTCTTTCTCTCTCGGTGGCCCCTTGAGATACCTAGGCTCCGAGGGCCATTACTTCCCTAAGTGAAGTATACTGCAGGGTAGAGGGAGCATTAAGACATTACACCCGCCACAATTAATGGGAGCAGCTTGTCACGGGTACAGGTGGCTATGTCTGCTCCCTCTCTCCTTCCCTCTCTCTCTCTACCCTAGAGGGATGAGCACCCTTCCCTGCCCCCCGCCTCCCTCCTACCTAATGCTCCCTCACATAACTCCCACCTGCACCCCCAGCCTCCCTCCCCCAGGAGCCGGGGAAAATGGAAGGGAACAGTTTTTGGGTGTTTGTGTGAACGAATATTTGACTGTGAATATGGATGCGGCCGTGTGCTTACTGGGATATAGAAGATTATTGCTTCCTCTGCCACGCCTTGGTCCCGGCTCTACCTGTGTGTGTGTGTGTGTACTCACCTGTTTGTGCTTGCGGGGCTTGAGCTTTGACTCTTTGGTCCCGCATCTCAACTTATATACTTGTATATAAGACTATATACTCCAGTTAGAACTGTGTGTGTGTGTGTGTGCGTGTGTATGTGTGTGTGTGTCTGTGTCTGTCTCAACACATATGCTCATACACAGGAGTGTACATGAACAGATGTACACACCTGTAGTGTACAAGGTCTACCTATAAGTCACTGGTCGTCACTTATAACAACTAACAAAGATTGTGTACAATACACAGGTCGCTCAAGCAACATGAGCGACCTCTGTGCTCAGGGAGCACAGTTATATGTTAATACTTAATAATACAATTACTTATGCTAAAGTTGCCACTTTTCGTATAAATAACAAACTAGGTAAGCTCACTCTAGATGTATTTATGTCATTTATAGTTAATTAGTAATTCAGGTAAATTGCAAGTAATATTGTTTAATGCGCGTTGCGGCTGTTATAGTCAGATTTACGACTTTAAAACTTTTAATACTAATGAAAAAAGTTACAATATTAACCAGGAGAGTTATGTAAGCAGCAGAGAATATTATAATACGATTACAGGAGGAGTATTGACACAAATTACAGTTCCAACATGAACAATTTGTATTGTAAGAGAGAAAGATAGAGTATTAGTTTAGTCTGCCTGCATGGAGAGTTAGCCTGAAGCAGGGAGAGTTAGCCTGAAGCAGGGAGAGTTAGTCTGAAGCAGGGAGAGTTAGTCTGCAGCATGGAGAGTTAGCCTGAACCATGGAGAGTTAGCCTGAACCATGGAGAATTAGCCTGAAGCAGGGAGAGTTAGTCTGAAGCATGGAGAGTTAGCCTGAACCATGGAGAGTTAGCCTGAAGCAGGGAGAGTTAGCCTGAAGCATGGAGAGTTAGCCTGAAGCATGGAGAGTTAGCCTGAAGCATGGAGAGTTAGCCTGAACCATGGAGAGTTAGCCTGAACCATGGAGAGTTAGCCTGAAGAAGGGAGAGTTAGCCTGAAGCATGGAGAGTTAGCCTGAAGCATGGAGAGTTAGCCTGAAGCATGGAGAGTTAGCCTGAAGCATGGAGAGTTAGCCTGAAGCATGGAGAGTTAGCCTGAAGCATGGAGAGTTAGCCTGAAGCAGGGAGAGTTAGCCTGAAGCAGGGAGAGTTAGCCTGAAGCATGGAGAGTTAGCCTGAAGCAGGGAGAGTTAGCCTGAAGCAGGGAGAGTTAGCCTGAAGCAGGGAGAGTTAGCCTGAAGCAGGGAGAGTTAGCCTGAAGCAGGGAGAGTTAGCCTGAAGCAGGGAGAGTTAGCCTGAAGCAGGGAGAGTTAGCCTGAAGCAGGGAGAGTTAGTCTGAAGCAGGGAGAGTTAGCCTGAAGCAGGGAGAGTTAGCCTGAAGCAGGGAGAGTTAGCCTGAAGCAGGGAGAGTTAGTCTGAAGCAGGGAGAGTTAGCCTGAAGCAGGGAGAGTTAGCCTGAAGCAGGGAGAGTTAGCCTGAAGCAGGGAGAGTTAGCCTGAAGCAGGGAGAGTTAGCCTGAAGCAGGGAGAGTTAGCCTGAAGCATGGAGAGTTAGCCTGAAGCATGGAGAGTTAGCCTGAAGCATGGAGAGTTAGCCTGAAGCATGGAGAGTTAGCCTGAAGCAGGGAGAGTTAGCCTGAAGCATGGAGAGTTAGTCTGAAGCATGGAGAGTTAGCCTGAAGCAGGGAGAGTTAGCCTGAAGCATGGAGAGTTAGCCTGAAGCAGGGAGAGTTAGCCTGAAGCATGGAGAGTTAGCCTGAAGCAGGGAGAGTTAGCCTGAAGCATGGAGAGTTAGCCTGAAGCAGGGAGAGTTAGCCTGAAGCAGGGAGAGTTATAACACTGAAAGTGATGATAGTATTAACAATTAGAGTGAGAATAACATACAATGGGACCATTAACAAGTTAGAACAGTAACTAGAAAAAATATATACTTTTGTGTGGAAAAAAACAGAACTGAAGTGGTGTTTGCAGCCTCGCCTTCCTAAGACAGCGTCGTATTGTGACGTACACTCTACTTAAGCCCAAAAACCGTCGTACGAGAAAATGGTAGCGTCTCGCGGAGTTGACATACTGTCCCGTTTTCTGTTTTGGGTCCTCTGGTGGGTTAGGACAAGGGCACCTTAGTACGACAGTTTCTTGACGTTGGGGAACCTTAGGAGGACGAGCTGGTTGTTGTTGTTGTTAAAGATTCGCTACCTGGAACAATGTTCCAGGTAGCACGGGCTATGGTGAGCCCGTAGTGCCACTGACGGGTTGGGGTTTGTAAAGCGGAGTTCAGCGTAAAATCGAGAGAAGTTAGAGTATTAGGTGCGAGAGACAGAGTACTAACAAGAGAGAGAGAGAGAGAGAGTAGGAACAAGAGAGTACTTTTAAGAGAGACAGAGAGAAAAAGAGAGAGATAGAGAATACTAACACGAGAGTAGGAACAAAGAGAGAGAGAGAGAGAGAGGGAGAGTACTAACAAGAGGTAGAGTACTAACAAGAGGTAGAGTACTAACAAGAGGGAGAGTACTAACAAGAGGTAGAGTACTAACAAGAGGTAGAGTACTAACAAGAGGGAGAGTACTAACAAGAGGGAGAGTACTAACAAGAGGTAGAGTACTAACAAGAGGGAGAGTACTAACAAGAGGGAGAGTACTAACAAGAGGTAGAGTACTAACAAGAGGGAGAGTACTAACAAGAGGGAGAGTACTAACAAGAGGGAGAGTACTAACAAGAGGTAGAGTACTAACAAGAGGTAGAGTACTAACAAGAGGGAGAGTACTAACAAGAGGGAGAGTACTAACAAGAGGGAGAGTACTAACAAGAGGGAGAGTACTAACAAGAGGTAGAGTACTAACAAGAGGGAGAGTACTAACAAGAGGGAGAGTACTAACAAGAGGTAGAGTACTAACAAGAGGTAGAGTACTAACAAGAGGGAGAGTACTAACAAGAGGGAGAGTACTAACAAGAGGGAGAGTACTAACAAGAGGGAGAGTACTAACAAGAGGTAGAGTACTAACAAGAGGGAGAGTACTAACAAGAGGGAGAGTACTAACAAGAGGTAGAGTACTAACAAGAGGGAGAGTACTAACAAGAGGTAGAGTACTAACAAGAGGGAGAGTACTAACAAGAGGGAGAGTACTAACAAGAGGGAGAGTACTAACAAGAGGTAGAGTACTAACAAGAGGTAGAGTACTAACAAGAGGTAGAGTACTAACAAGAGGTAGAGTACTAACAAGAGGGAGAGTACTAACAAGAGGGAGAGTACTAACAAGAGGGAGAGTACTAACAAGAGGGAGAGTACTAACAAGAGGGAGAGTACTAACAAGAGGGAGAGTACTAACAAGAGGGAGAGTACTAACAAGAGGGAGAGTACTAACAAGAGGGAGAGTACTAACAAGAGGGAGAGTACTAACAAGAGGTAGAGTACTAACAAGAGGGAGAGTACTAACAAGAGGTAGAGTACTAACAAGAGGGAGAGTACTAACAAGAGGGAGTACTAACATGGGTGTGCGGGAGAGTACGGGAACTCCAGCGTGGGTATCCGTGGGGAGGAGCCGGGGTGGAGGCTGGGTGGACAGTGGTAGCAGAACATACTCGAGCCTGCTGGAGGAGACACGTGTTAGTTAGTTGTTGTCAACCTCCCTACACACCTGTACACATGTCTACACCTCTACACACCTGTACACATGTCAGCCTCTCTACACACCTGTACACATGTCAACCTCTCTACACACCTGTACACATGTCAACCTCTCTACACACCTCCACACATGTCAGCCTCTCTACACACCTGTACACATGTCAGCCTCTCTACACACCTGTACACATGTCTACACCTCTACACACCTCCACACATGTCAGCCTCTCTACACACCTGTACACATGTCTACACCTCTACACACCTCCACACATGTCAGCCTCTCTACACACCTGTACACATGTCAGCCTCTCTACACACCTGTACACATGTCTACACCTCTACACACCTCCACACATGTCAGCCTCTCTACACACCTCCACACATGTCAACCTCTCTACACACCTGTACACATGTCAGCCTCTCTACACACCTGTACACATGTCAGCCTCTCTACACACCTGTACACATGTCAGCCTCTCTACACCTCTACACATGTCAACCTCTCTACACACCTGTACACATGTCAGCCTCTCTACACCTCTACACATGTCAACCTCTCTACACACCTGTACACATGTCAACCTCTCTACACACCTGTACACATGTCAACCTCTCTACACACCTGTACACATGTCTACACCTCTACACACCTCCACACATGTCAGCCTCTCTACACACCTGTACACATGTCTACACCTCTACACACCTCCACACATGTCAGCCTCTCTACACACCTGTACACATGTCAACCTCTCTACACACCTGTACACATGTCAACCTCTCTACACACCTGTACACATGTCAACCTCTCTACATACCTCCACACATGTCAGCCTCTCTACACACCTGTACACATGTCTACACCTCTACACACCTGTACACATGTCAGCCTCTCTACACACCTGTACACATGTCAATCTCTCTACACACCTGTACACATGTCAACCTCTCTACACACCTGTACACATGTCAACCTCTCTACACACCTGTACACATGTCAACCTGTGGACATATCCACACAAATATGGACCTGTGTACACATACACATATAGACCTGTAGATATATTTATACACATAAAGACCTATATACATATCTCTACACATATATACATACTTACATATGAACATTTGTATATACACACACACACACATGAACCTATGTACAGTGACATGAACATGTATAAGATTAAATGCATAATAATATTACTTTCTTACATATTGATGACATAAGATAAGTGAGCGTCTTGAGTTGTGGTTCCAACTGTTCATATATTACCTGTTTTATAATATTTGTATAAACGTGATAATAAACTACAGCATTCATATTAATAAAGTTGTACAATTACCTTGATTGTCAGCAGTACAATTACCTTACAGTTATTGTTCAGGTGTAAAGTATATTGTTCCATGACGCGTAGTGATTGTGTTTAAAATTTAAGACTAACGAAGTAATAACAGAAAAGCTTAATATACCAAGAAAGGCAGAACCATTATGTATAAAAAAAGGTTTCCTTGCTTTTTGTCTTCAGAAACTCCTATGATCTACATCCCGGTCCATCAGCAGGTGTATAGTACCTTAATGTTGTTTGGACAAAACTTTAGAGTTCGGCTGTTCTATTATTATCTTGTGCTGGATCTTCCCTCTGGTGGCCGCTGCATCGTTGCAAGATCACTAACTTACAAGACGAAGATGTAGCAGACATGTGTAGCGTGAATGTCGCTAGAGGAGCGTGCCGGGTCCCAGGAGCTGGAGGCCGCCTGTCATCTACACAACTGCTGGGGAAGTGCGCGCCCCTCCGAGTTACACAGGATTGATGGGTAACTTCCCTGGAGCGGACTTTTGACCCCCAACATTACCTTATTCCTTGCCTGGCCTCAGCCGGATAAGCTATCTGTCTCATTCCCAGTAATCCTGGACCCTCCGCGGCCGACCTCCTCCCCCCCCCCCCCCCAGGAGACAATAACGTAAGGAGAAGTGAGAAATCTTAAGAACATAAGGTTCCCGGAGACTTCCACCTGACCACTCCACACTGGAGAGTGTCACCATTTGCGGCATTTGAGTACAATATTGTGGAGGGCGAGAGGGAGGCGGAGAGTGGTATACGGCGCGGGTCCCGGCGGTAATGCGGCCCTGGGAGACGGTGAAGAGACAGCGCTGACACCCAGGAGGTATATTGACCTCCTGGAGGTGGAACACACTACACCCTCCGCCTCCCTCTGGGTCATAACAGTAATCCCCCGCCTAGCGCCGCCGCCCGTCACTCCCCTCCTCCTTCCTTACCTTGTTTAACACCCTTGAACACTGACTTTTTCCCGCCTTTTTTACAGGCTCAGATATGTGTAAGTCTTTATATGAGCTTGACAACACTCGAGGATTTGTGGGATAGCACTCAAGGTGCAAGGTATGAACGTGATTGGCGAGGAGGCTTCACCTCGTCCACCTCAACACTACCCCACACAATACAAAATTACAATATGTTATTGAGGTATAAGTACACACAAAGGGATGAGGCAGTTTAAGCTATTCTCACCCCGTTCACTCAATACAAGTAGCCTACTGTCTGCTGGTGTATTGCTGGGTACTGGAACACCACTCCTGCTTGTTCTCTCTCTCTCTCTCTCTCTCTCTCTCTCTCTCTCTCTCTCTCTCTCTCTCTCTCTCTCTCTCTCTCTCTCTCCCCCCCCCCCCTGGGTGAGGTGCTTGGCACCATAGGTGGAGCCCATCTGTTTCCTAGTGAACATCGACACAACAAAATTCACCAATACAGACCTCACAGGTTTCTCATGACTCAAGACTGTGTAAAACTGCTTTATCATAGGTGCTATATGTGAGGTGCTATATCTTAGTTCTATATATGATTGGCGATATCTGAGATGCTATATCTTAGGAGATATATCTTAGACGCTGTATAGATATATCCATACACCGGTTGTGGCGTGGTTGGTGGAGTTAAGACTTCATAAATGGATTCAAACATAGATATAACAGCCCAAAGGGTTGGGAAACTTGAATACCAGGCTGTTGATAATTGCGAGGCGGGGCCCAAGAGCTTAGTATACACAGTGTATGTGAGTGCCTCCGTGTTTCCTTGGTGGTATCTGGCCTTGCATATGTATAGTGCTGGTGTGCAGAGCGAGACTGTGGTGGCTGAGGTGTTAATAATTAATCACATATCGTCTCCAGATGTGTGTCTCATCTGGGTGCTACGATCTCTCCCCTCAACCAGGTCATTAGTCTACGCCAGCTCCCGTAACCAGGCCTTCCACGGGTCTTAACTAGGCTTTCCATCTTGAACTGGATCACCTCCTCCAAGCCAGGTCATCGACCCAAGCCCTGGTCAAGGTGTTGGATGATATTATCCTCGCAGGATGATGGCCAGTCAAGCCAGAGGAAGGTCGTCGGCAGGAACCACCACGCGCCGACAGGCAGACAGAAAGCAGACATAAGCAGACGGGAATAAAGCAGGGAGGAGCAGGATACGCGTATGAGGGGCCAGCAGCGGTGCCAACACAAATGATGTTTGCATCACAAATGACCCAATGAATTCATCACGTTTCGCAGTTAACAATCGCTAACGCCATGATTCGGCCGCAATTTGGCTTTGGCGACAATACCCTCCGGCCGATTTGCATCCGCCTAATCCGGGGCCAGCAGTAAGGGCCAGAATCCGGCTGGTGGGCACAGGGGAGCCTCGGCCGGAGGGGAGGGCGTGGCTTAGTCCTGTGTTGGCCCGGGTCTGGCCTGGACTATAATGGGGGCGGGGGACACAAAGCTAAGCAACAGATCAAAGAATCAATTACCAATGTACATAGTTACGTTGTGACGAGCGGGGGGGTGGTGGAGGGGTGACGGGGGGGAGTGACACTAGGGGCCACCACTGGTAGCGGGGACCACCACTGGTAGCGGAGACCACCACTGGTAGCGGGGGCCACCACTGGTAGCGTGGTCCACCGCTGGTAGCGGGGGTCCACCGCTGGTAGCGTGGTCCACCACTGGTAGCGAGGTCCACCACTGGTAGCGGGGACCACCACTGGTAGCGGGGACCACCACTGGTAGCGGGGACCACCACTGGTAGCGGGGACCACCACTGGTAGCGGGGACCACCACTGGTAGCGTGGGCCACCACTGGTAGCGGGGACCACTGGTAGCGGGGACCACCACTGGTAGCGGGGACCACCACTGGTAGCGGGGACCACCACTGGTAGCGGGGACCACCACTGGTAGCGGAGACCACCACTGGTAGCGGGGGCCACCACTGGTAGCGTGGTCCACCGCTGGTAGCGGGGGTCCACCGCTGGTAGCGTGGTCCACCACTGGTAGCGTGGTCCACCACTGGTAGCGGGGACCACCACTGGTAGCGGGGACCACCACTGGTAGCGGGGGCCACCACTGGTAGCGGGGACCACCACTGGTAGCGGGGGCCACCACTGGTAGCGGGGACCACCACTGGTAGCGGGGGCCACCGCTGGTAGCGGGGGCCACCACTGGTAGCGGGGACCACCACTGGTAGCGGGGACCACCACTGGTAGCGGGGACCACCACTGGTAGCGGGGACCACCACTGGTAGCGGAGACCACCACTGGTAGCGGGGACCACCACTGGTAGCGGGGACCACCACTGGTAGCGGGGACCACCACTGGTAGCGGGGGCGCTGGGTCTTGGGCATGAGACAATTACGACCAGTAACACAATTTGCATGTATCTGCCCCAAGTGCTGTCGCCCACAGATGCTGCTTCCTTCGCGACGAAGTCCACTCCGCTCAACCCAACATTCCCCCCCCCCCCGCAACATAACACGCAAATTTCACGCCACACGCAAACACGCACACGCACGCGCGTGCCCAAGGTTGCGACAAGGATGGCCACGGACGGGAGGGAGATGGAGCACGGGAGACGATTGAGTCTGGCGGTCAATATTGGTGTTTACATATGGTTTGTCTTGGGACAATATTGGCACCA